GGGGACTCAGTTCAACAATTTCTGACATTGCCAGTTAAGTAGAAGACCCAATACTATTATGGGGTACTGGACTGTTTTAGAATATTTTGCTGAGTTTAAACACCTATAATATTCAAATAACAGAACTTAACAAAAAAGGGTATACAGATGAATGTCCATTTTGTATCTGTGTATTCAAAGTGGTTAGGATAGATATATAATTACATTCTGTTAATGAATAGAATGATTTGCTCTAATGGTGTTTGTAAATAGGATATCAAGTCCACATCTTGTACAGCAATTAACCCCTAGGAAGAATGTATGCAGTGTGTTAATTATTGAAACTGTCCTACCGATTTGATTTGAAACCATCTCATTCCTATTTGTTTATCAATAAAATTATGGCAAAAAAGACATAATCTCAAACATTTTATTTATATTATATATTCATCTTCAACATCTTTTTAAAAATAACTTCCCTAGCACATACATTTGCAATTTAACTGATGAAATAAATGAAAATACAAATTATTCAAAGACAAAAGCAGAATGACACCGAAACTGAAGATACAGAAAAGTCATACAAAAAATCTGTCAGCTCAAATTCTGCTCTATATTTGGTTGATCACTTTTGATCCAAGATGTATTTTTCACAATGATGAGTATAAAGGATATATAATCACAAGTGGATGCATGAAATAAAAAAGAAACTTGCTTAAATGAGTAACACGTCACTTGCAAAGAGAACGTCTTCTAATATTGAGACATAATTAAATTATAAACCAGTGGTAATCCACATCATAATTAAAACTTCAAAGTTCATTCAAAGTCATCTAAAAATCAAAAAATGCCTTTGGAAATGTTTTGGTAACCTTAAACATTTCAGTTTTAAAATTTTACACTTGTTAAAGAACACTTCAAATAATATTGTATTCATGATATTAATTTTTTTTAAGTTTTAAGAACATTTTAAATTAACTTTAATGTCAGCAATGAATTTCAATCCACCCTATATGCATAATACCCAGATAAATGAACTATGTTGCCCTTTCAAAATATGAGCAAAATTTTTGTACATAAGTACACATGTTGACATAGTATTATTATTGGAAACTCTCCTCCATTAAATAATTTAATATGGTTTACTCAGTGAGAATCAATTGAAATTTAGGTAGAAAAGTTATATGTCTTATACATGACTTTGCATTTCATCTTGGTTTACAGTCTCTTCAGATCATACTTGGAATGGTGACAATAAAATAATTAACCATCGTTAATGATTTAGAACATCAAAAGAAAGCAATGTAAAAATATACAAAAACATGGAAGCAAGCCAACCTTTAAGATATAATGAACCTTGATAATATTCTGCTAAATGAAATAAGCCCGGAAAAGAAACACAAAAGCTGGAGGAGGAAATGAGGAGCCATTAGACAAAGGACACAGAATTTCAAATACACAAGGTGTGTAAGTCCCAAGGGTCTGTTGTACAATGTAGTGCCTATGGCTTAAAATAATCCATTGTATACTTAAAATTTTCTAAGGGACTACAACTAATGTTAAGTGATCTTATCCCAAAATGATAATAATAATAATAATAATAACAACAACAACGACAACACAGAGAATGAAAGAGAATTATTAGAGGTCACAAATATACTAATGGAACAGATTGTAGTAAGGTTTTGGGTGTAAAATTTGCCTCTACACTCATCAAGTTGTACACCTTAAACATGTACAAATTTTTATATGTCAATCATATCTACATAAAAGATAAAATATATAGTCATCCATATGTATGCAATTCATGTGTAATATAAATGATTCATATAAATAATCACCTACACTATGCAATAAAGGACATTTGAATTTCTAGAGGTTCAATGTTGGTACCCATCAATTTTTCCTAAATAGTGTGATTGAAATTCAAACTTTGCGATCCAAAAGAAAATATACTCTATAGACTATTTAACAATGCTCACTTACAGATCAATGAAAAATCAATGGAAAGAGATATAAAAGGTGTACCTTTCGTTCATTTTTTCTTTGTGAATACCTTAAAATGCCATGTATGGGACACAATAAGCGCTACCTCAAGTTCAGATGTGCATATGTATTCTAGGAACACATGCAAAATTTGCATAACTCTTCATGTGTAATCTTAACGACTTTTATTAGGACATTAATCCTAAAATACATAATTATTTTATTCATATCAACTGGATTCATTTGTGTGTTTCATCAATCTCTTGGAAAAAAAATAATCTCTCACTGTCCCATACAATTGAAATATCCCACATACTTAAAATATTATTTATTAATTATTGTTGACTTCTCCATTTTACAGGATAATTTATCTGTATTATAAAATGTTGCAAGCCAAAATGTTGCCATTTGAATAAATTGTTTATTTTCAAGTCAATTTATAACAAGTCAGATTCTGTTTAGCTCTTAACAAATACACCGTAACTCTTCTGAAATATTAGCAATTTCATTTTAGTTTCTTTTTCTCTATTAAAGGGGTAACTGCCCCAAATGCATCACTTGGTATTTTCAGCCATGCCTAATGATAATATAAGTCCACTCTAGAACAACAGCAACCTCTTACTGGGAATTGCACATGATCAGACGGATGTGAGCTTACCATGTTCCAGCCAGGATAGAGGTAGTCCGTGCCCACAAATTCAAAGTAGTGAGCAAATCCCTCCTTCAGCCACACATCTTCCCACCACACTGGAGTCACAAGGTCACCGAACCACTGCAGGGACAAAATGAACAGGATTCACACACAAACACATCAATCTCGGGATAATTCTGTCTAAAATTAAAAGCATGAAACTGTGATTATCATAACTGGAAGTCATCTTGCAATTGATTTTGTGATTTTAAAATATATTGTTGTAAGGCTATATTGATTTATTTGATGCCCTGTGTGGTGCCAGCTTTTATAGATCCATTCAGAGAACAACAAAAAGATCAAGGAACACAAGAAGTCTTAACTTGGAGGAGAAAGGACTCAGGATAAAAAAAGAACACACACACACACACACACACTTATGGTAAATGTCTTCCAGCTCAGGGATTACAGGCATGTGCCACCTCAGCCCATCTCAGGGGCCAGCTCAGCACACCTGGGGGCAGGGCCAGCACAGCATGTGGCACCAGGGATCCAAATGAGGTCTCTGTACTTTCCTAAGCAGGCACTTTGGCTTGCTGAGCTATCTCACTGGTCCTGCAAGAGTTTTTAATGGCGATATTGGGTCTTCTGAAGGGGGCATATGCCTGAGACTGCATCTGAAATTCAGTTGCTTAAGAAAGACTACAAAGGGTTTACAGTCTTTACACATGATATTTAAGCGGTTAAGGTCTTACAAGATCAAAAAATGAATCTGATGCTAGAAAAAATAAAAAGAAGGTGAAGGGAGAGGGGGAAAAGAAGGAAATTGAAATGTGTTAGGTACATGTACCTATGCCCTTCAGTGAATGTACTCATTATGTATCACAAACATGTACTAATAAAAAGCAAAATGAAATATAAATAAATAAATAAATTATACATCAAAAAAAAAAAGTATTTGAAGTCTATAGTGGTGAAGAAGGAAAATTCTGTTTTTGCTTTTGTTTTGTGGGCCTACAAGGGACTGGGAAAAATGTATGGAAATCAGGATTGATCAAAGTCTGTTGAAGATACAGAAAAGTTTCCAACCAGGTTGGCCAGTTTGCAAGTGCTGTCTTGACAGCAACTCACCATTACAGGTATTAACTCAGCAACTTCCAACAGAGAAAATTCAGATATGATTGACACTAGGTCCAACTAACAAGCTTTATGGCCCTCCACACCAGGCTCTTCACAATCTGTGATAATGAAGGCTTGGAGCAAAAAGATAACTCCATGAAAAATAATACTGAAACCTTAATCAAATCATGATGCATTGCTGTGAAACTGTTTTTTAGCTTAGGAAAATATTTTCAATTATTTTTCTTCCGTTTCATTAAAAGCATACACTACGTGCCAAGAACTATCTTAGGACTTGAGATTTAATGGCAAATAGCTAATAGTGTTGCTTCTCATGCAACTCCTCTCCTTGTACAGAGGAGATGAGGTGAGAGAGAAAAAACTAAATATGCAAATGAGCAATATAATTGCAGACCTTAAGAAAGTGTTTAGAAGTGGACTGCTTTAGTTTATTAGAAGCAGAAGTATTCTTTCTTCACAGGTGACATTCTGAGTCTAGACTTTAATGATAGGAAGAAGTTAGCCATGAGAAAGCCCTGAGCAAGAGGATCCAGGCAGAAGTAAGTAACCCTTAGTGTGAAAATCCTACATAGAACCAGCTATTTAAGAAAAGGAAGACCTGCGAGGCTGGACTATAGCAAACTAGAAGAAAGTAAAAGTGAAAAAAAATCCTGAAAGGCAAATGAATGCCTGGTAGTAAACAGCTTTAAGAGCCTCAGTAAAGAGTTTAGTGGCTAAGTTTTTAATCACTTCATTCAATGGATCTCTAAATGAATACAAATAAAAATTAGGTCAGGATATGATGATGGCTACAATATATTTTTTATTCCTTATTAAAAATACACATTTTTTAAACCACATTGTCTTAGAACCATTACAAAAAATGAGATGACGGTGGCATAGAAATGGCAGGCAAGGGAGATAGCTCAGTAGAATAAGTGCCTGCCTGGCAAGCCCAGGGTCCTGAGTTCAATCCCTAGTACCACCAAAAAGTAAAACAAAAGAAATGAATGTGGCAATGACTGTAAAAATGTTTAAAAGTATTTCTTCTAGCTTCTGGTTAATTCCCTCATAGTAAATAACACACCACTACTATACTATTATCACAAGGGACGTTACCAGCTAAAACAAATGAAATCATTTTCTGAACAATGTAACATTATCAGTGTGATTTCATTTCAAATGAACTATGCATCTAACTTGTCATTTATAAGAATTTCAACCATTATAACTTCTTTGTCTCAAAGAGTTGTAAGTGGACGTGGAAACCACCCTTATTAGCATAGAAGAGCAGCCTCAGTTCTATCTACAAAAGCCCCCCTATCACTTATGAGGTAAGGAACAAAGTTCTGGCCTGATTATTGTGACAGATAAACAGTGTACAGGGTCACCGCGAAAAGCTGACATTTACGTAAGTGGACATACAGCTTGAACCAATTTATTCTTAAATCGCTTTCATTAATTACTATTTATTTAATAGTTCACTGTTTTATTCACTAACAGTATTTTCTACATTATTGCTTCTTTAGTTGTTCTCGCTCCTTATAAGGGTTTGAATTTGCAATGTTTTGAAGTCATATTGTATCCCAATGAGATTTCTGGTATTTCAAGTTGAAAACTATCCAGAGTTGCTGGTAACCAGGGCAGATGTTACATCCTACTAGCAAGAACATTTACTTTCTGTGTTATTTTTTAAAGTCAAATCAATATTCAAACAGGAATTGCAAAATCTCTCTGGTCCTTTTCACTTGTGAGAAAGTATGTAAGATAAAGTGAAATTAATTTTATCATGGCTTGGCTACCAAGTTGGCTAATTTACATATGAATTTCTAAACTGCCAAGGAAAAAAGCTATCAATCATTTGAGAACAAAGAGTCTATGGCTGACTTAGTGAAAGACTTCTTAAGTGTCTCTGTGATGGGACAGGGGGAATAACAAATTGATTTCAGCAACGGCACATTTTGACACGTACACAAAATTCGGCTGCATCTTGCAACAGTGCAATAAATCACTCCTATCAGTAGTCTTACAATATATGCACACTAATAATCACAAGAAAATAAAGCAAGGTCGATAAGAAATAGCAACTAGATAGTGGCTGCAAGGGGGTGGCTGTTAGGTTGCCAAACTAAACTGAATGACAGTTGCTTATCAAACTTCATCTGTGCATTCATTTTTGTTTGTGTTGTCCACTGAGAAAAATGATGTGGCTTCCAGAAAAAAAAACTATACAGTGTTTCAAAGAAAACTTAATAGGGAGGGTAACTTAGTTCCGGATCTAGGTATCCGAATGCAGTCTACATTCTCAATAGTTTGCACGTTATACTTATACCTGATCCTTTTCTCATACCTGGTGACATATCTCATGGACAATGACCATGGTGACATCCAGCAAATAAGAAATAGATGAAACACTGGGATCCAGCAGTATTCTTTGTTCCACAAAAATACTTAGTCCCCAGTTCTCCATAGCAGCATACGGATGCTTAGGCACAGCTAAAAGATCTAGAAATAGAATAAAACAGTTCCAAAGACTTTAACAAAGATACTAGACTCTATATTGCAAAACCTCAAAAAACACCAGAATTCCTAATGAGATGGGAAATTTGCTCTTTCTTCAAATTTTTTTTTTTGTAAATTAAATAACCTGTCATTTGTATATAGCAGAAGAAATATAGGTGATCAGTGTAAATGCTGTCCATATCCATTCATTACAGTTCATTTTCAGAGCTGACACTACAGGGAGCTGGAAGTACCAGCACCATTACTGATGGCCCCATCCTAATACATTTCAGAAAGTCGAGGAAACCAAACGCAGTGAGAGCCTACAGAGGCAAAGGCATTGTGCTTTCTAGTGACACTTCGCTCAGCCCAGTGCCATAAATACTCTCTTCTTACTTTTACCTCAATATTTTTCAAACAATTACATTTTATGTTAGTTTAAAAATGTGGTGTCATTCTTCCCATTGCTTAAATTCTAGTGTGTTTTGCCAGGTCTGTTTAAACTAAAATGCTGCATGCAAATTGAGTTCATGAAGAAAACTGTGATTTGAAGCACAATGGTGAAACTGCTGTAGAGAGGACCCAGGGGCTTTGGTCTGGACCTTTCACCATCCAGCGCAGACATACCATCAGTAACTCACTGGTCTCAAGACTGCTATTCCCTCACCTATAAAATAAAGTTATCAGCCTTATCTCTAAAGTGTGTTCTAGTTCAAAAAAAAAAGCTGTGATTAGGCTATTCTAAAACTGGTGCTCATTTTAAAAAGGTTGTAGAGTGTTAGCAATAGCTGATGACAAAAAGTTCATGCTTTGATGTATTCCCTCTGCTCTAGACATATACAATGATAAATAAAATATTAAAACTAAACACTAAAGTCAAATCCAGGCTCAAAAATAAATCTCTCCATGGAGCAGAAGTGGGGCAGAAATGCAAAATGGTGATTGCCTGTGGAGTCACAAGCCTGCTGGGCCCTGGCTCCAGACCAGGCAGTGGAAGCTGGGAATTGGCTTCCATAGGACCCAGAAGAGCCAAGAGGATGAACGCCAAGTTGACTGTTCGATGCCAGGGCCTGGGGAAGGGCATAGTACTCAGGAGAAGAGGCTAAAATAGCTGCTACTCACTGCTTCCTGGGAAAGCAAGCCAGTGGCAGGGCATAGATTTGAGTCCAGGAACACGGCTCCTGTACCTAGTCCCTTAATCATACTGACATCATGTTCACAGTCTCTTGATAAGGAAGTCCACATTTCAATAATATAAGCCTGGAATAATTCCCCAGGACGCCATGGAGAAAATGCACAAGAATGCTCATGGTAGCATTGTTTGTAAAAGTGCAAAGAAAAAGCTAAATCTTTTTCAGGAAGACAACAGGTAAGGAAATTATGACAGAGTTGTACAAAGGAATACTGTACAGCAATCAAAATAAGTGATCTCACCACCAAATTCTAATATTACAAATATGAACATAGACAGTCAGAGAAACATAATATCGAGGAAAGGAATAAAGTGTAAGTGATCCAGTCATATGCTACAGAACAAGAAGAAGGCAGAGAGTCAGGCTGAGGTAAACAGAGACTTGCGCATAAACAGAGAGAGGTAAAGTGATAAAATGCATGTGAGAACATGCAAATAGAGCAATAGGGAAGACTAAATTAATGATAATCCTTGCTACAGGGAAGAAAGGATGAGAAATCGGTGGCACAATTACTTCAAAGTTGGCCATGGGTACATGGGTAATGGTTTACTTTTTACTTTTTTATGTATACTTTAAACACTTCGTAACAAGTAAGAGACCTAAATAGTAATCAGTCTCAAAGAAACTTTAATTTTTCACTGATCCCTAACTGCAACAAAAATCATACTAACATTAGTCAAATATTCCTTTGTCCCCTGCATTCCACTCTACTGTAGGAAAAGAACAAAGGCATGACAGCGATAACACACAAAAAAAAAAATTGTATAAATAAAAAGCACGATTATAGAGGGGAAAAAAGTCCTTATTTCTTTGGGAAGAGTCTTGAAAAATTGGACTTCAAAAGATAAACAGAATTGTAATAGACAAAGACAGGGAAATGAGAGAGAAGTACAGAGAACCCGGATGTGTTCTGAATGTACACCTACTCCCTGTGTGGATGGAGGCATCAAGAGCTGCTCACTCATGTTAATTAAAGTATTTCTAACTTTTAAAAAGAAAAGACAATCTGTGCGCTCTTGAAACAGCAAATATTTACTGAGCCTCTCCCCTGCCTGCTGCAGGTATTGCTCTGCTTCGCCTTTCCAGCTCCTTGCTTCTTGTCCCTGTGCTGCTTATGCTCCCGTGTGGCTGTGGAGCAACACATGGGGCTGCAGAGATAGCTCAGCAAGCTTAAGGATCCAGGTTTGATCCCCAGTACTGCATGTCATGCTAGCCAGCACCCCAGGTGAGCCATAATGGTCTGGAAACCATGTGTGGTGGTGCACACATGCCTGTAATCCCAACGCTGGGGAGGCTGGGACAGGAGGATCACTACGAGTCCGAGTTGGGTAGTGAGACCTATACTAAATAATAAATAAATAAATGAATGAACAAATAACACAGGAATGAAGACATTTAGTAAATGGTGAATGCTACAAAAAAAATACAGGAGTAAGATCATGGTTGGTGAGTAGTGGGCAAAGAAAAGATTCTCAGAGATGATCACGTCTGCCATGATGTGACTGTTGCAGAAGTCAGCTTGCTCAAAGATCTATGTGGGGGCTGGGGGCTAGCTCGGTGGCTTAAGTGCCCACCTGGCAAGTGCAAGGTCCTGAGTTTGCCCCTGGTTCCAAAACAATAAAATCAAATATCTATGGGAGTGAATCTAACAAGAGGGGACAACGAATGCCACGCACCTGAGGTAGAAATAAGATGAGTGTGTTGGGCAAACGGGAGTTTGGTGCAGCTGAACCCTATAAAAGGAAGAGTGTATACCAAAGTGCAGGTACAACTCGGAAGAAGATAACAATTGCTCTTCTACCTTAGATTTTAACCTAAGACCCTGACCAAACATGGAAGAGACAACAGAACCACCTCGTGTCAATGTTGTCTGTCACCAGCAAATGGCAAAAGTAGTAGCAGGCCTGGTGTGATTTACAGACATGAACAAGTGGACTTACTAACAACAATTCTTGCAAACCAAGCCTGCTGAAAAGCAGAGGCAGCTCTGTACTCTGTAGTCATTCAAGAGCCAAGAGTAGCCAGGAGCAAGCGAGCGAATCAATCCACACATTAGAATTTAGATCAGTTCAAATGGACAGAGAGATGACTCCAAACATGTAATCCAGATACAGAGCTGAGGATTTTAAAATACAAAACAAGGTGCCCTGGGGATGCAATTTTCAGACAGCAAAAGTTTGCCTAACAGCATAAAATCATGTACAGTGCAGGAGTAACTGAAGATCTGTGTCCAAGGTACGAGACATGGGTGACCCAAGGAGGCCAATGGTTACATATAGGTATCTGGAGCTATGAAGGCAGCAAAGTCTCAAGTGGGTGACAAGATTAAAGATTAACCAAATAAGGACTCTTCAGCAAATGGAGCCAGAGTTAGGCGAAGTCACTAGGGATAGAATAAAACACTGAGGTTTAGTGCTGTGCAGAAGCTTCCTAGATACAGACAGGCTTTATGACAGACACAGGAAAGCAGAGTTATGAATTATATGGAGAGCAGAAGTAAGCTGAAAAGGCTAAGATTATACCTACATACATAAAATCATCTTATGGAAAAATTTTTGGATAAATTTGATCAAATAGTTATCAGTCAAACAACCATGGAGTGATATTTTCATTGTTTCTCCATGCTTCACAACTTAAGGAAACTCATATGTTAGTTTTATGATTTGAGAACACCTACATCAAGTATATGTCTGCACAGACTTACTACAAATGTTTACAATAGCTTGATTTCCAATAGCGAAAACCTGGGAATAACCCAGATAACCATCAATGGGCAAATAGGTAAAGCATGGTACATTCATACAACAAAATAGAATCGATCAACTCTAAGAAAGGAAATTCAGGAATAGCCCACAACATAGACAGATCGCTGAGTTTTTAAGATTTTTAAAGAATTCATACTGTAAACCTGATGTCATTCATGTATACAAAATTCCTGAAAATATAAGCTAATCTGCCTTCCAAAGAGCAGGTCGAGCTGGGGAGATAGTTCAGTGGTCTAAGCACCTGCCTGGCAAGCACGAGGACCCGTGTTAGACCCCTGGTACCACATGCTGTGCCAGCCCTGAAACTGGGGATAGTGATGCAGGCCTGTAATCCCAGCACTGGGGAGGCTGAGACAGGAGGATCACTATGAGTCTGAGCTACATAGTGAGATCTTGTACCAATAAATAAATTTTAAAAGTTTAAAAATTTAAAAAAACAAGAATGCAAAGGGCAGATCAGCAATCACCTAAGGACAAAGAATGAAGGAGTTACCTACAATAGGAACCTTCTGGAAAGAAGGCATCTGTTCATTGTGGTGATGATTTCATATATAAATATATTTGCCAAAAATTATCAAATTATACAGAACAAAATCATTCATATATGGTCAATGTATTGTGTATTACTGTGTCTCAATAGCACTGCTAAAGAAAAAATTAGAGATGGTAAGTAAACTATTCTTATGCTTATTTGAAGCAGATAACAACCATTCACAAATAATTAAATTATTTTAATTGTTGAAAATTAAATTCCTGACACTATATCCATTAAACTGTGTGCCTAAGCACCTGCCTGGCAAGCACGAGGACCCGTGTGAGACCCCTGGTACCACATGCTGTGCCAGCCCTGAAACTGGGGATAGTGATACAGGCCTGTAATCCCAGCACTGGGGAGGCTGAGACAGGAGGATCACTATGAGTCTGAGCTACATAGTGAGATCTTGTACCAATAAATAAAGGTAGCTCCTTCATTTGCCTTTAAAAGAATACTCGTGTTTCCTAATCTAATTCACTTACAAATTCAAAGAAAATACTAGATAAATTT